GTGTCTCCACTCCGGCCCGAGTGACGTAATGCACAGATGTGCAAACTTGGGGACAGGGAAAGAAGAATGAGGAGTAGCAGCTGTGAAGGTTGGAAACCAAGGGACTGCCTGGGGGAGGGGGGACCCTGGGTTCCCCACTCCCTACCTGCCCCGTGAACCTGTGTCAGACCCTCACCAGTAAACGCGGCATCCTGAGGATCACGTGAGTTTATAGACTCTCGATTGCTTAGAACCATGCCTGGCATACAGTAAAGAATACATGCAGCATACAGTAGGCGCTCAACAGGTGCATGTGGGACATGGCACGCTGCACACAGAGGCTCCTCTCAGTGGCTCTGGCGGTCTTCCTGCGGAGGGAGCAGGTTTCCCAATGTTACCTGCTCCGAGTCACAAAGCTGGAAGGGGGCGGAGCTCAGACTGGAGTTCAAGGGGGCATCTCCCTGCTCTCTCTACACCCAGCACCTTGCCCTCATGAGCTGTGTGACCTTGGGCATGTCCCTTAACCTCTCCATGATTCGGCTCCCTCCTCTCTGAAACACAAGGGCCAGACCACATATAAAAACAACGGACCCACAGTCTGCAGCCTGCTGTCCAGCACCTTCCCTTTGGCCCCCTCAGAGGCTTGCCCGATCCCTGGCCAGCCTGGAGTCTCTGCAAAATGCAAGTGATGTGGCTGACTCCCTTGTTCTATAGACAGGTCTGGATAGACTCCCTTTGCTTCTTCTCATCTAAGTGGTCTTCATTTATTTCTGCAACCCATACACAGTTCTTAGCTTGAAACCTACCCTGTAATAAGTAAGTACTCGGCAATGCCAGCTTTCGGTTCACTTGGCCAGCCTCAGTTTACCATCTGATCTTAGGAAACCGGGGAGCCACTGGGACAAAGCCCCCAGGACCTTGAAAACCCCTGACAGAGAGAAGCAGTAACAGAGCCCTTCCTTCACTGCTGGGGCTCATTACCCTGTGGGCTGTATCACCCCGGAGGGAGGTGCCACGATCCTCCCCATCCTCCATCCTCCCGATCTGATCCGATCTGGGAGGGAAGGCAAAGTCCACGTGTTTGCAAGGAAGGGTGTGGCCTTCAGAGTGATGGCCTCAGCTGATATCTCCATGGTGATGTCACTCCCAGCCCCAGCCCGCGACCACATCCAAACAATCATTTTTTTGTGTTTTGAACAGAAACACAACATCAGAACAATCATCTTAACAGAAACGGGTTTGGGTTTAAATTTCTTTTGTTGGTTAAGTAACACATACGTTGATGGTGGAAAAATGCAGTAAAAGAGCAGAGAAAAATCGCAAGGATTCCCTCCACCCAAAGCCCACCACCGTTACCAGTTTTTTTTCCCCTCTGTAGTTTACAAGGTTGAGAGTCTACCGTACCCACAGTTTTATGATGTGCATTTTTTTAATTGAAGTATAATTAACATAACCATGTTATCTTAGTTTTAGGTGTATGTGATGGGCATTTTTCAATTGACATAAATACAGGGCTGTTTCCCCATGTTTTCTTTTTTTTTTTTTTTTAAAGATTCTATTTATTTATTTGAGAGAGAGCACAAGCCAGGGTGGGGCAGGGAGCACAGAGCGAAAGGGAGAAGCAGACTTCCTGCTGAGCAGGGAGCCCGATGCCGGGACCCTGAGATCATGACCTGAGCCGAAGGCAGGTGCTTAACTGACTGAGCCACCCAGGTGCCCCTGTTTCCCCATGTTATTACAAATTTCTTGTAAAAAGCAATTCAGAGGCTATAAAATATTCCATCACGCCGATGTCCTGTTGGTCCTAAAAAATAAAATACAACAATAAAAGTATACCAGGGAGGCAGCAACCTGCAGGGCAGCCAGGCCTCTCCCGTGGTTGCCCCTCCCCAGCCCTCCTCCGCCAGGCCCCCCGTGATTCCCATGAAAGCCCCACCACCACCACCGGCTTTCTGTGGGGCTGCCAGGCAGGGCCAGTGTCAGCAAGAAAATGGCCAGATCAGCGCACTTTCGGTGGAGACAAAACCCTGGGTGAGAGGTCAGCTGGGAGGGCTCTCCTCCCCTGGTTCTCACCCCCACCATCTGCCCCTCCCCAGGCCTGATGCCCTGGGGCATCATGCCCAGCTCCGCCCTCTACATCTACCATTTAGTGGCAGGAAGCAGAAAACCCCAATCCAAGCTTCCACAAGACAGAGCTCTCTTTTCTCACCTAGAAGGAGCCTGGCAGGTGAGTTTGCCCCTTTGCCCATGGAGCCCAGGGAAGGGGAAGCCAGGACCTGTGTGCACCGTTGGTCTGAATAATGCCGGGGGCTGTCAGTGAGGGAGGGGGCTTTGGGGGGATCAGGGGTGGGTGGAAGGCAGGAGGTGGGTGGCTGAACCTGGACAGGCCCAAGTGAACTCGGGTGCATCCCAGCAGGCAAGACCCTGCACCCTGGATAAATCCCCACCTCCCTTTATTTTTATTATTATTATATTTTTTAGCCCTGCCTCTCTTTAGACCTCAGTTTACCCACCTGTGGAAGGAGGGATCAGGACTAAACTGCAGGTTACTTTCCAACAGGGAAACTTTTAGTCTATTTCCGATGGGCTTATGTCCTGGGAACTTTGGCCGTTTTCCTGGTTCCAGAAGCCTTAGGTGTCAGAGAAGGGAGAAGTGCCCCCAGGACCCAGATGCCATTCGATCTGGGTCAGAAACCCACACATTTGGGCAAATCATACTCTGCTACACCCTGTCTCCCCCAATGTGCTTACCCCCATCTTTTTTGAGCTCTCTGCCCCAGAACCTGGGTGTGCAGACCGGGTGGGGCTTGAAGGGGTCCGAAAAGTGCCCAAACCTGTCTGCAAAACTCTGTGTGTATGTATGTGTGCGTGGATACGTGTGTCTGCATGCACGCGCGTGTGCATCACCATATCATGCGTTTCTGGGAGAGTCTCCACAGCTTTCAAAGTTTCAAAGACACGTGTAACCCTAAAAGCTGAAGAACCTCCAGCCTGGGCTGGGTTCCTCCCCTTGTTTCCTCTGCTGCTCCCCTCCCCCCACAGCGTGGCAGCCCCTGAGGTCTAGCCTGGACCCCCACAGCCTTCCAGCACTCTCTCGGGGTCTCAGCCTGCCTCTGAAGCTGCTTACCCCCCAGGTGCCAGGAGAACTTTCTGAGTTGCTTCCTTTTTTTTTTTTTTTTTTAAGATTTATTTATGGGGCGCCTGGGTGGCTCAGTCAGTTAAGCGGCTGCCTTCGGCTCAGGTCATGATCCCAGGGTCCTGGGATCGAGCCCCACATTGGGCTCTCTGCTCGGCAGGAGGCCTGCTTCTCCCTCTCCCTCTGCTGCTCCCCCTACTTGTGTTCTCTCTCATATAAATAAATAAAATCTTAAAAAAAAAGATTTATTTATTTATTTGGGGGGCGGAGGGGTAGAGGAAGAGAGAGTCTTAAGCAGACTCCGCACTGAGCAGGGAGCCCCATGCGGGGCTCGATCCCAGGACCCTGAGACCATGACCTGAGCCAAAACCAAGATTCTGACCCTCAATCCACTGAGCCACGCAGGAGCCCCTCGGAGTTGCTTCTGATTGGCTCTCATCTGCTTTCCATCTTCAGAACCCCCTTGGCCTTTGCAGCCATCCTGGGCTCCCTTCCCACAGGGAGGGAGGGAGGGAGGACTGTGACAGAATCCAGGAGGCCAGCAACCTGAAAGAGCCCTGCCTTTCACTTTGTGCTTCCTCCTCTCCATGGTTAGAAAAGACCCTGTTCGAAATCCCCCGCTCACAGGAGGAAATCCAAAGTCCTAACACGTCCTCTGATCACCTAGCTCTTTGAAAGAAGTTCACATTTCTTTAATTTTTTTTTTTTAGAGTAAACTCTATGAACTCAAGACCCCAAGATCAAGAGTCACACGCTCTACACACTGCACCCGCCAGGCGCCCCGAACTTCACGGTTGTGGAATGCTAACGTGCTACTAGGCACTGATTGTTCTTAGTGCTTCATGTAGATTAATGTACTCAACCTTGACAACAACCCTAGGAGGTAGTCTATCACGAGCTCCACTTTACAGATGGGGAAACTGAGGCCCAGAGAGGATTGCCCATCAACTGGGAGGTGATGGAGCTCGATTCTTACCATTGCACTGTGCCTTGTGTCTTATCTCTTAATTTCCAGAACGTCCCTCCTGGCCACATGGACACGATTTAGCTCCCAGGTTCCTGAACATAGCCTTTTCCACTTGGAAGCCCTCCCATGAGGTTGACACCTTCTGCAGACTGCTTTTCTCTGGGCCCACTCTTCACCCCCCTCTCCCCTTGGTCTCTGGGTCTGGCTCCACCCACCAGCCGGGGACCTCCTCCGCCTCAGGGCTGGCCGGTGCCCAGCCTCCCTCATCATACCATTACCCCTTAGCTGAAGTGAACTGAAACACTACCCCCAATTTGTAGGTGGGGAAACTGAGTTCAAGAGGTTAACTCACTTCTCAAAGATTATGGGTACCAGAGCAATGGAGGGATAATGGTGGGAACTAAGCTGATTCATTCATTCTAGCGTCATTGAGTGTCTACCCTTGGCCAGGAACCGCACTGGGTGCCTTGGTGGATATGAACAAGACGGCCTGGTGCCTCCTCCTTGGTGTCATTGTCACTGTGCAGACCCCAAGCTCCCCCAACACACCCACATGTCCATATTCAAGGGAAATGGAGAAGAATTTGAACTGGGGAGGGGAGGGCCGGCAGCTGTAACTCCTGATATCACAGGAGACAGATCTTACTCAGGGGAGGAGGGTGCGATATTCATCTGGATCTTGGGTACCACTTTTTCCAAAGATGCGTTGGGAACGTGACCACCAAGACACCCCCGTGCCATTTTCCCCCACCCGCTTTGGCCTCAGGACAGTTCAGTAAGACCTGGAGTTCTCAGCGCGGCTACACCATCTCCTCCTCATCCCTTCCTGTCCGGTCCAAACGTCACCTCCTCTGTGGAGCCTTCCCGGAAACTCCAGGAGTCCCCCCCCCACCCCGCCCCAAGCATCCCGAGCTTCCACCTCTCCCGGGGGTCTGGGACACCCTCGTGCGCGGAGCAAGGCTGAAGGAGGCTCTTTCAGCGCCAGTAGGTGACCTGCGCGGAGGCGGGCGTGGGCGCACCCCGGACGCCCCACGACCGACCGCTGCGAGGCTGGGGAGGAGGTGAGGCCGCGTTTTCCGCCCGCCCGCCCACTTGCGGCGCGGCGCGGCTGCCCGAGAAACGCGAGGCCACGTGAGCGCGCGCCTGACCCCCGCCGCGCCAG